TTAATTCAGATTCTTGGATATTCCTTATATTTGAATAAGTAAGGCTGATTATGGCTGTTAAGAAAATATGACTATTATAAAATAATATACTTTAAAGTATAGTAGTGGATTATTCAATTAAACTGCAATGAGCCCAAGGTAACACTTATGATTCTTACTCTGTATAATAATATAGTAAATATACATTTTGTCAGTGGGAAATTAAGCTTAATGACATTAAATGACATTTGGGAATTATAGGAAAGGATACATTTTCTTCCTATTATCTTTGCCATCACATTGACTGCCAGCTGTTTTTCTATATTTCTTTTCAGTTTTCTCTCCAAACAGTGCACTGATTGCTTTATACAGGTCTACACGACGTATTGGCCTTCCAAGGTCACTTTGTACAATATCTAGGATATCATCAACTCCAGTGACACAGCCTTCTTCATATGCAAAATTTGATGCTAAAGATTGACGTATATCTATATAATATAATTTATATAATAATTATGTATGTTGTTATATAACTGTTTCATTATCCAACCTAGAAATAATAGTAATTGGTCAAAAACAATTATCAATATATACCTTCATCATAGTTTAAGTTCTTTGCTCTCTTATCAGGTGGCCTTTTTGAATTTGGGCTAGGAGTAAAACATAGACTTCTTTTTCCATCTCCTTTGTTTGCCCTAATTTCTAAAATGGGAATTAATTCATTTAATAAAGTGTCCCATGTACACAGACACTCTTTTCCACTTGTCAATTGTAACCCCCACCCCCAAACCTTGGGAAAAGGTGGGGATATGAGGCAATGTGGCATTTTTTCTATTTTGACACTTACACAGTTACACCTTACCTAATGGCTAATGGGGGGATTTTCCTGTTATGGACCCCCAACCCTGGTATGCAAGGCATAATATGGGCCACATTATGCCCCACAAATCCCCCATTAGGTCAGGCGTAACTAACTGTTTATGTGGGGCCATTGTATACAGCCTGCTCACAGGATTGTCCTGTTGAGCCTGACCTAAATATTACAAGCCAGGTTAGTGCCATTTTTATATAAAGTTATAGATTTTGTTCAATAAAATTTTTGGATTTTTTTAAAAATTTTGTCCCCATGGGTTGGGCTGCCTCAGGGGGTCAGGTAACAGTTATAAAGAATATAGTAAAATATATGCCCCCACCTTTCCTCAAGGTTGGGAGGGGGTTAATTACAATTGACAAGTAAAGGATGAAATACATCAATGTTCGTTGATCATATTCGACGTATACATATAAACCAAATTTAAACTGTATTTAAAAATGTGCTCAATTAAAAAATTGTATACAAATGTGTGACACTGAACATTGGTAAAATGTTCAAAACATGCAGTTTTGTCGTATAATCCTTGATGTTTAAGATTTATATACTCACAAGTTGTGATCTACACTATACCAATATACTGTAGTATGTACCCGAATGCGCTTTCTACTTGACAGATTGGAAATATTTGGATAACATATGTTGTCAAAGCGTTTTTAGTCGGCATTCAATGGCTTTATATTCTAGTAATACGAGTCGTATGTAGCTTGACCGTATGGTAGCGAGACGTAGCCTATTTCTTTGTTCCGGGAGCATTAGAGCAAAACTAATGACTTAATATAAACACACAAAGGAAGTCAACATAAAGGAAAATGTAAAAAAGGTCAAGTATAGGTCAAGTGCATCCGTGTTGAAAACTTATATAAAGCTTTATTAAGTCGGCACAGCGGGTGAACAAGCTGTTTATTAAAAATCATATTGACTCACCTTCGTTTGAGCCGAGGTTTGAGCCTTCGTTTTGAGCCATTTTCTTAAAAAAATCTTTCAATTTTCTATTTACAAATTGGGTATGCTTGGTAACCAGGCCAGGGACCACTTTTTTGAAATCAGGGACCATTTTACTGAAATCTGCTAGGCTCTCGCGCTGAAGCGCTCGGCACAGCACACCCAGGCATAAAACTTATAAAACACTTAGAGCAGCGTTCAGCGCGAGAGCCTGGGACTAGGCTGGTTGTGTACAATTCAACACGTGCAATTTCAGTCAACCCGTAAAAAGTATACATTTAAAATTATATGTACATTACGACTCTAGTAGCAAAATACAAACCTGATTTCTCAGTCGTAATGTCAAAGTAATATGAATTTTGCCAGCACATTCAAAAACAGAAAATTGCCTTGAAAGTTGAAATCGGTATGAGTTGTTTCATGTACATGTAATCAAATGTAAACAACGTCGCGTTTTGATTGGTCAACGTTTGGGGGCGTAGAACTGCACGAAATTGAATGTGTCAATTGACCTTTAATATTTTGTTGACTTTCCTGTTTTTTGTTTTTTAAATTAATATTTTTTGACAGCTGTTAAGCTGTTAAAGCTAAACATGCAGGCATGTTCAAATTCCCACAGCAGTAATTTATTGGCTGCGAAATAAGACATTTTTCATCTTTGTTTTGATTGTTTATTTTTGTTTGTCTTTAGGTGTTACCCAACAAGTGTTACACCATACTGAAACGAAAGTTTGCGCAGACCACAGCCAGCGGTCTGATTGAGCATAACAAGTGTTACACCACAAATAAATGAAAGTTTTCTAAGACCACAGCTAGCGGTTTGACAGAGTGTAACAATCAAAGTAACATTGAAGCTATGTGAATATATAGCAACTAAAAGCGGTAGCCACATGCACGCTTAGCGTGCCTATTTTTGTAAGTGCTGCGGTGAATATAAACTACTAAATCCACCACTTCAGCGGTAAAACACACGTGTAATTTCCAAGGGTGTCACGTGGTACAAAATGTAAACATTGCGGACATTCGCTCTGTTGTGTAATAGGAGTTAATATGGCGCTCACTATCGTGTGTGATTTGAATTGCAAATTTATATTGTAACAAGACGCCTGCTTAGGAGTTCACACTGGCCTGAAATGGCAACTTTCGTGGTACTGAGTGTAATGCGTAGTAGAGAAGTAGATAGAAATTACTATATGCCATATGGACCGCCGTCGTTTCAAAGCAATTGATTTTTAGGAACTACAACGCCGTTAATATCTGATATAGAGTCTTTAGACATTTTTCTTTATATTTGTAGTATAACAACACCGAAATATACAATAATTACGCATTTAAAACCCGCAATCCTTAAAGTTATAGATGTAAATCAATATGGTGTTATTCCCGGATCGTCCACAAACCAGGCGCTTATTAAAATGATACATAAATGGTCGGAGAAAACAGACGGTGCTACAGCCTCAGTAAGGATTGTTTTGGTTGATTACCAAAAAGCTTTCGATTATGTAGACCACACCATCGTCCTATGATCTAAACTGAAATCCCTCGAAATCCCTGATTCCACTGTTAGTTGGATTGCAGATTTCCTGAGTGACAGACAACAACGAACCAAATTGGGACACGACTGTTTTTCGGAGTGGGGGAATGTTCCAGCTGGTGTCCCTCAAGGAACCAAGCTGGGTCCGTGGTTATTTATATTGATGATAAACGATGTAAAAACACGTTGTTTAGACGAGGTAATATTCGTAGACGATCTAACGGTATATGAAACAGTAACCAGATTTGGTTAAAGTGATATCCAACATGCAGTTTCCGAAATTGAAGAGTGGTCCGAGTCAAACCTTTTCAGATTGAATGAAAACAAATGCAAAGAATTGCGGATAGACTTTGCGAAAAATAGAAATCCCTTTCCTCCTATTAAAATTAATGGTAAACCTTTACAAGT